TGCAAAGTAGCGGCAAGGCTGAAATAACAAGAAGACAATGTAAATGAGACCACAGAGAAACATATTGCCAGTTGTCTAAATGATTAGTATAGCAGCTACATAAAGTTCAGAAGAGTAGTATATGTCTTGGAACAGTAAATCATACCAAAGATTTGGTTTCCGGAGTTGTATCGTGTGAAAATTTGCACTGTTCTCCCTGCAAAACATGGAAAGAAGTTTACATCGGCGACAAGAAAACAAACAAAAATTCACAAGAATTTTGTAGAATCCAGCGCCATTGTGCGTACTTCAAGGCACCGTCCCCTGTGATAGTGTCGACAAGATATTACAGGTTTTGGTTTCGGAGCTACTGGTGGTTTGAGTTTCAACTTCTTCACTCCAAGTACTATACGCTCTTGAGCTATTTTCTTCCGAGCTTTTGCCTGTATGAAAATACCTAATCAATAAGCAAACAAGCTATTCCAGAAAAGAAAAGAAAAGAAAAAGACTGCCCATGAAGATATGTTACCTCCTTCTTTCTAGCTTTTGCTTCCTCAGACGGCACAGATTTGTTCTTTATGCAAGTTTGAGAAGCCATCTGCAGATTAAAAGAAAAAAAAAACGGAACAACACAAAGTCAGATTTTGTAAACGCTATACAAGAGAGATGAGAATAAAAGAAGCAGATATAGAATACCGAATACCTTTTCTTGGTTTTTGGAAGTTAGATCATTCTCCTTCACTCCATTTTCTACATCCAGTACCTCAAAACTAGAACAGTTACTCTTACTAGTAGTCCCTTCTCCTCTTTTATCCAAAACCTCATGTGAGACATGAGTCTCCTTGTGCATATCCATTGGGGAATCACCATCAACCCCAGATATCTCGGCATCATACATCTCTTCATCATTAGTCTCAAAGACTCCACAACTTACAGCCTTACTCCTAGTAATTTCAGAAACCTTGTCATCAACTTCTCTTGAATCTACCTGAAACTCATCGGCAACACCAGGAATCTCTACCGTGCTTTGAACTAGATCAATTGCTTGTTTAGGCATAGCATCATAACCATAGTCGTTCACATCCAATGCCTCGCAGAAATTCACAGGAGCGAAGTCTCCTCCACTTCCATTAATGAGTTTCTCAAACCCAGCGAAAACATCTTTGTATTTGCTACGGCCAGATGCATCTTGCAAGTCAGTTCCCTCCAAAACATCTCCAAGCATCAAACTCTTCTCCAGTGAACTCGTATCCATATTCTCAGTTCTTGATTCACCATCCGATTTTGGTTCAAGGATCAATGAACTCTCAGTTAGTACTTGAATCGGTTCCGCAGTTTCTCCCGGAGACACTTGAGCGGTTTCTATTCTCGGAAACACACACAAAAGTATCAGAAATTATAAAACTCAAATCACTAACTGGTTATTGCAGATGAATCAAGCATGCTAGAAGAGTTTCTCACCTGTTCTAGTGACCAGGTACCGGAGAACATCCGGTGTGGCGAGAGATATTTGGTTATTACTTTCGAAACTAGAGCAGAGGTGATGAAGGACAGAGCGAAAACTCCAAGTAGGTAGATGCGACTGTCGGGGAGCAATCGGAGATTCTGATAAGCGGTTCTGGTCATTTTCACCACGAACATTACCCAAGGCATCAGAATGTTTGTTTGATTTACCTGAACTATCACCAGGATTCATTTGACCATGTCTACTCAAACATTCAGTAGATGACTTCTGAAGTTCTTTAAGTGGATCTATCATTTGACCGGCAGAAGCGTTGAGATGTTCCAAATCGTACTTGCGCTCTGAAGGCTGTTGATCTTTACATATGGCAGGAAATTGTACCAACGGCTCGGCAACCAAAACCCTTTTTCTTCTCTTGTGAGAAGCAGAAAAGTACTCGTACAGATGATTCACGCGATCATTGAGGCTGCCGATGTCAAGCTTCAATCTACCAAACTCTCCTGCTAGAAATTTACGTTGAGAAGCTTCATACGCAGCCTTACTTTTGAAGAGCTTTGTGGAGTTTCTCACAAACTGCAGCCGCTGTTTCAAAAGCTGCAATTCAGCTTCTTGGAGATCTCTGGCTGTAGGAGTGGATTTGTGGGAGACTGAAACCTCAGGCAACTTCTTTTTGAAACCTTCAATCTCTGCTGATGGGAGATCAATAGCATCCCGCTCAGCTGACTGTTCTTTGTCACCATCGCTCATTATTATATCCACATCCTCATCAGAAACTTCCTTGCTGACAGAAGAAGCCTCGCTATCACTGCTGCTCCCTCTATCGCTCCCACTGTCATTATTGTCATTATCACTCTCGCTGTTAGAGATACGAGCCTGTCCATCTCTATTTTCAAATCGCTTCTCCTCATGAAGAATACCAGGTAAATCCTTCTCAACGTCAACATTTTCTTGCGCGCTCAGTTTCTCTTCTAGATGCACATGCAAAGAGTCTTGTGAACCTTCTCCCTTCCGCTCGCACACAGAAAAGTTCTCCATGTTGCTGACCCCTGGAACGGGTAACTGGTCGCGACTGCTGTCAGTGATTTGAAGCAATTGCTGGCGTTCAGGCGAGCTGAAAAATAAAAGTCCAGATACGGCAATACAGGGGAAGTTGACATACGTAAAGAGTATAGAAGGTGCATGTGGTATAGTATGCAGCTTCTCAATTCATTCTACACCAAGTTGGATGATAACAATCATTCCATTCGAGTTCATTGGGCACTAAACTAGCACCTTCTCTACTGGACTTTCTTCTCTTATCATAGATTTTATTCTCGTGCACCTACTTAACATTATAAATCACAAGTATTATTTGAGCCGATCCTACTGTGTCATATTCTACAATGACAAAAACAAATAACTATCATTTTGGGTAGATGTACCTTTTGCTATCCGTTGAATGACTTTTATAGATTTCCAAATCTGCTCCTGGTTTTAAGAAACTACCTGGAGCTTGGAAATTCGCAATCTGGTTATCAAAACAACAGTTAGGGACAAAATAAATACATATAACACTTCATAAAACCACACCAAAGTTCACATGACTTACCTTTTTCAAAATTGTTTCAATCAACTTTGCCTCATTAGGGGTTCTATCTCCAACAGCTTTCGCTAGTGCCTAGATAGAAACAGGGAGAGTGGAATCAATCGTGGTGTAAACACATATCAGATATGAAAAAATCTATGTAGCTGAAGTTTGATATATGTATTACCTTCAAGCTCATTGGAGCCTCTTTTAGGAGATCATCCAACAGTACATGCAAGTCAATTTCTTCATTGACATTGGTTTCTTGGCGTCCAGATGTGTTCCTTAATGCATTACTTTCCCAGGTTGATAAATCTTTTTCGCTAGCAACCATGCTCTCTCCGCCCCTTGTCTTCACGTTATCTGCATGGGTTTTAGCAATATTCCCAGTCCCACATGAAGAAGGGGTATCGTATTGGTTAGAAGGAGATGGTCCCAGTGAAGCTGATAGCCTATTTTTCACAGAAGTGGTTGAAGCCTCTGGTCTGAAAGAAGGCTTTGGACCTCCGATTACAACTAACAATAGACGACAAGTAAAACTCTTAGAATTGACAAAACAACTCTTAGAATTGACAAAACAACAAGGGAATATAACACCACCTACGAGTCTTTGAGACCCTAACATGCTACCACAAGTTTTTTTTTCTTTCCTATATACCTGGAGCTGGATCAACTTTCCGCTTCTTAGGTGGAGGTTCTTTCTTCTGTTTATTTGACATTCTCCATGGAGCTGCAGGGAAGATGTTACGAGTGTTATTGGTTGTCCCAAACATTATCATAAGCAACATATTCAAAGGTTTTGAACCCCAAGAGACAACAAAACCTGACTCGACAGTAACATTTAGAGCATGGGATTCATTTTTAAACAAGAATGGCTGTCTACGTTCATGTTAACTTTTTAAACCACTTACTTAAAAGGGAAAGAAAAAAAAATGTAGGAGGTAGAAAAAGGTTTAGCAAAAATCTCATGTTAGCAGTCTAAAACTTCAAAGAGATAGATAGAAGCTGATCAAATGGAGACCAAATAGTAGATGGGAAGTTACCTTCAGCACGAGTTAACTGCTTCTTCAGTGATGGACTCGCAGTGGCAGGATCTAAAACAATTAACCTGACATGACCAAATATGTAAATTCAGGCATAACCACCTCGACGGGATTAAAGTTAAAAGATGAACACAAAACGATGCAATGTGTTACGCACGCACAGTGAGAAACAATCTTAGTCTCAAAAACAGCTCAAAGTACATGAGAGACCCTAAAAAGGACCCGCAGCACAGCAGCCTAACCGTGATAAGAAGAACAATGCGTACTTGCATTATATATTATCATGCCAAAATGTTAGGTCAGAACATGTACTTGTGTGATTTGGTTCTCTGTTCAGCTTCAACTGAGAGCATCTTCAAATGGCTTGTGGTTGACTCATCTAGAGTTCGCTGGACGTTCAATTTTCTCCGAGCACATCCAGCCTCGACCAGCACACCGTTTCCATCTTCACCACTTTGGTGTTCCTCATATATATCACATAAATTGCCAGGCTCCCTACACCAGGTAAATTTGAACTCCTTCCCACCGACATTAATTATCTGTTCAAGAAGTTACAGATATCGAGATGGCATTAAAATGTGAGAACAAAATTTATAGCCCAAAATGCAGTGCGAAATAAATGACAAAAAGGTATGCAGAGGGGTTAACATGACAGCCACTACTAGTTGCAAAACCACAGTTAAAAGCAGCAATTCACAATGAGAAACAACTAACCATACAATAAATTCTTAACCAATAAGAAAGTCTATGTGTATATCCAGAATCCACCAAGGAATTAATGTGATGTGATACACTTGCAATCGAATCTTAAATCTTCGCCAGCAAATTTAAGCAACATATATATATTATTCTTCTCTACGGCTATTGTCTTATGCAGAAGTAAACCATTTCACAGGAAACCAAATACCAATTTTCAAATGCAAGATTCGCCCAGTTAAAGAAAGCAACTCAAACTAGGGCTATCCTCTTTCTCTGACTATGTAAATGAAGCACTAGACTCACATTCCCAGTGCTACTGTTAGGAAGCGCATCAAACTTGATCTTGGCGGTTCCACCCTGTGCCTCCACCCGCTTGATCTCCTCCATCAAGTCAGGAGCTAAGCGTATGGTCATTCCAAAAGCCGGAGGAACCTCCCTCGGAACAATACTAAGTGTTTCCTCAACCGTGCGAGACGACGAGGCGGCCGCCTTGACGCTGGTAGTATTCCTCTCTCGTAGGGAGGCGGAAGAATGTCGGTTGGTAGGAGGTGGTAACAAATTGCGGTTTCGGCCCCGTCCACCACCACCGCCGCCGCCGCGTCCTCGTCCTCCTCTTCCCCTACCAAGACCGAGTTCGGACGATCCTCCTCGGTACATCTTCGGGTCAAATTTCGGCACGCGAGCGAAGAGAAGGGATGGAGAGTGAAACGATGACAAGAAGAGAGTGAGAGAGAGAGTAACCCAAGTCTGCTTCTCTTCTTCTTTCCTTAAATACTAAACGTCAAGCCTGCCTTTTTAGGTCTTAGTAGCGAGCTGTAGAAAAACCCGACCCGGACCTTTCGGATAGGGCCCACGCGGTTTACATATCCATGTAATAAAAAACAATGGTCAAAGGTGGACTTTTGAAAAACATTGTTTGATATCGATTGTGCTTTTTGATTGTTTTCTTTAAACCTTTTCATTGCCTAAATTTAGGTTATGAATGGAAAGGCAGAACAAATGCAGATCTCCCGTTCATGCAGTTCTCCTGCACTGCTTTTGCCATTCATCATTTTCTGTTTCTAAAAGCAGTTCAAGCAGGAGATCTGCATGCAGTTCAATATTTTCTGTCTTTTAGTGAAAAAAGCAGGAGATCTGCATGCAGATCTCACCCGCTAACATTTGTAGATGTTGATCTGCTTTTCTCACTAATGATTTTACTATAAACACTAACTTAAATTATATTTATCTGATTTTATAAATAATGTACAAAGATTAACTCAAACTATATAGTTCACACCAATATTATTTTTGTCATTTTAAAACTATAAATATGACATTCAACATTTTCCAAAGAAAAGTATACAATTTTCCTATATAAAATGAGTATTTTATTAAGTTGTACAATATTTTTCAACAAAAAAGATACAAATCTTTCTATATAAATATCAACAAATAGTTTAATATTATTAACATGCTAGTTCTTCAAAGATAATTTTGTTCAACTAAAACAGAAATAAAAAAAGTACGAGCATCTTATGAAAAATTCAATTAACATTTCGGCTGATCTTACAACATATAAGATATTTATTTTGATATTTTAGTATAACTTTTTATTTTTTAAATATATGGTTTATAGTTTTGAAATGATTTTGGCATTCATAATATATAATAAATTGTTTGATCTGCATTTCTCCTGCATGATCCGCTTGATCTGCACTTATCCTGCTTGATCTGCATGAACCGCTTGATCTGCACCGCTTGATCTGCTTTTACCATTCGAAGCCTTAATATCGTCTAGGTGTTTTTTCCGCACATGCGGTTTCATAATGTTACAAAAATTAGTAAAAAAAAATAATATATATATATATATATATATATGTATATATATTTAGATTTCTCAAATTTGACTCAAAACTTGATTTTGAATACAAATATCTACCACAAATTCAATCAAATGCAAAAATAACTTAAAAACCTAATGAAATTGTAACATTCCTCCTTATCAACAAACAAAAAACATGTATTTAGTTTTACTATTATAATCCTCCGATTGAGAAGACTTACAAAGAACTTTTCTTGGGGATGACTTCTTTGTAAGTCTTCTTATTCAGTAGAACTTAAAAATAATTTTATAAAAAACATTTTGATGCGTAAAAAACTGAAATCATGTAAAAATAAACATGTCTCAATATCTCAAATTTAATTATTTTCAACATATATCAATGAATATATATTGGTTCATGAGTTATTGGTGTAGGGTTTGTTAACATATGTTATTTTATTGTTGGTATCTTTATGGTTAGATTCTAAAGACTTACCTTTATTTTTTTTCTTTTTCAAATTAACTTATATATGTTTAATAACTATCTAATAATTTGATCTAAACACTTTCTAAGTTTTTTTCTTAAGTTTAAAAAGGTTTTTTGCATAGTTATTTGATTTTAAGGTTTGGAATACTCACAGAAGACTTAAAAGGAAGTCTTCCGACACTTCCCACCTGAATTTTGGATTAATTTAGGGTTCTCACCTAAATCAAAGTCTTCTATAAGTTTTTCAGGGGTCTTCCATAAGTCTTATAGAGAAAGTGGTCTCATGGATTAGGTCTTGAAAATAATTAATAAATTTTATAAAAAAAAGTATAAAAAATTGAAATCAAGTAATAATAAACTTTTTTCATGATGTAAATTAGTTTTAACATAGATGAGTGAATATAAATTGGTTCATGAGTTATTGGTTTAGGGTTTAGTAACATATGTCATAGTATTGTTGGTATCTTTAGGGTTAGATTCTGATATCTTACCTTCATTTTTTTTTCTTTTTCAAATTGACTATATATGTTTAGTAACTATATAATAATTTGATTTAAACACTTTCTGTAGTTTTCTTTTAAGTTTAAAAAGGTTTTTTGCATAGTTATTTGATTTTAGGGTTTAGAAGACTCACAAAAGACTTAAAAAGAAGTCCTCCGACACTCCCGCCTANTAGATTCTGATATCTTACCTTCATTTTTTTTTCTTTTTCAAATTGACTATATATGTTTAGTAACTATATAATAATTTGATTTAAACACTTTCTGTAGTTTTCTTTTAAGTTTAAAAAGGTTTTTTGCATAGTTATTTGATTTTAGGGTTTAGAAGACTCACAAAAGACTTAAAAAGAAGTCCTCCGACACTCCCGCCTAAATTTTAGTAGAATTTAGGGTTCCCGCCTAAATTTTAGAATAATTTAGCGTATCGCCTACACCAAAGTCTTCCAGGAGTCATCCATAAATTTTTCAGAAGTGTTATGAGTCGAAAATACTTAACCTAATTGAAATTTTTGTCTCCATATATAGAGAAAATTTACACATTCGCTTTCTTCCTCTCAAATGACTGCAACAAAAATGTAATGTTTCTCACTCTAAAACTCTCCAACCTCTTTCTAATCTCTTTGAACATCAAAACACCAAACTTTATATTCATTTCTCATGTTTTTCTTATGTCTTCTCACTAATTTATCTACTTTTGCAGGTTTTTCATTACATGATTCTCATCTTTCACTCTTTCATCACTCTTTCAAAGGTAGATTTTAAATTTTGGATATGAATTTATGTGCGTGCTTATATGTTAGATCCTAAAAAGCTATAGATTCAACCTATTATGACTGTTTTGTTTATTTTGTAAGCATAAATTTTTCATTTTTGAGATTTTTTTTTTATGTTTTGAAGTCATTTGAATGTTTTTGAATTTGCAGGATTTTCAAGATCTGAGTGACTTTGAAAGACTTCTAAGAAGATTTCCCAGAAGACTCTCATAAAACTTTTCAGAAAGTTTCTAATGCATTTAATGCTAGAAGACTTTCCATGAAGTCTTCTAATGTCCTCTTGCCCAAAGTGGTACAAATTTCAGATCTGATACAAATTTTGGAAGACTTATGGGATAATTTTTGGAAGACTTTCGAAAGACTCTCAGAAGACTCTTTGGGAAATCTTCTAATATATTTTATACTAAAAGACTTCTGACGAAGTCTTTAGGAAGTCGTCCAAAGTCTCCTACCCAAAGTGGTACAAATGGATGATGTGAAGTGAAGTCTAAGTCAATCGATGTTGAGGAATAATATCTAGATGTGTAATAATTTCGTTTATGGTCTTTTTATGATTTGTATGTGTAATATTTAGTTTTGAATTATTTTGTAAACTTTAAGAGATGTTAATCAAAAGAATGGTAAATATGTTCATGTTTTGCCAAAAGTACTTGATTTCATTAAAGTTCATGTTTTAACCATTCTACCCACACATAACAAAACACAACAATACAACAACTTAGTAAAATTTGCTAAAACTAAGAGAGAAGACTTCTAAAGTAACTTTAGTTAAATTCACAAAATATCAAAATTAATTGTAAGCTGAAATTTTAAATCTCATGGAAGTTAAAATTATATCTCTGAACAACAATTAACTATTGAATCATCTACAAAAAAAAACTTGCTTAGAACACATTAGCAAACACAAAACATCAACTTGATAAAACATAATCGGAGAAGACTTCTTATGAAGTCTTCTACAAATCTTCTATGACGAAGACATACAGAAGACTTCTCCGTTTAGCTAGTAACATTATTAGACATCTCTGAAAGTCTTCTATAGCTGGAGGACAAATAGATGATCTGTTGGCATATAACTGATATGGACGGTTGTAATCAGCCAAAGTTTTGGGTCGTGCAGCCTCATCTACAGGCTAAGCGGCTCATGTAACATTAGTATCGGGCTCAGGGATAACAGCCCCCTGAGTATCTATCCTCTGACCTGCTGCATTATGTAGATGATCCTTCTGGTCATGCAAGTATTCGTTCTCATCTCATAACAAGAACTAAAGTTGCAACTATGTCTCGCGGCTCAATATCGATCGATGTTCGGGATGAGATATCGATCGATGTCGGTTGAAAGATGTCGATCGACGGAGGAGTTGCTTTTAGTCTTGGGCTTTCGGATGAAACCGAATGTTACCGAACCGACCGAACCGAGTTTATGGGTTTTCGGTTTCACCATGAAATTAAGCCAAGAACCGATCGGACATCTGTCTAAAACATAACGGTTTACAGTTCGGTTCGGTTTGGCAAACACCAACCGATCGGTTTAACCTAAACCGAAAGTAAATTTAGGTTTCCTATATAAATATGTGTTAGTGTTAACCTTCTGTTTTTCTTCAGCCATCAAGCATCCTTCTAACGTTTTATACTTTTCTAAAAATCAGAAAACGTAAAGCAAGTTTCCACTTTTATTTCATCATCTCATTCGATCTTGTCTGAGGTAATCTTCTTCTCTTATCAAGTTTGTACTTTATGATTTTATCTATTGATCTTACTTTGTTCTTATCTTACTTTATTCAGCTTATCTTCTTCTCTTATCAAGTTCTGTAATTTTTTTCAGTTCTTATCTTAGTTTATTCTGCATTCTTCTTCTCTAATCATTTTTTTGTACATTTTTAGATGTCAGCTGGAGAGAACATCGATATGAAAGCTGAAGTGGAAGTAAAAGGACCACCTGCCACAAGAAACAAAAGAACAAAGACACAGAGGTCAAGTGCTTCTGGTTTACCACCAAAGCCAAACAAGAAGTTTCCCAAAAGATCTGATGTATGGGAACACTTCGTTGACAAACCGAAACATAACCAAACCAACCGAACAAACCGAAACAT